GGGCAGAGCGTCGGCAATATCCCGCCTGTTCGCAGTACTTCCCCTATCCCGCCGTTATCCCGTACAACCTGAGTCGAAAATAGTCTTGCCTACTCCGTCTCGCCGAATGTTAGTACCGACCGCCACCGAATTGTCAATGGGAATTTATTTATTTAATTGTTAGTTTAAAATAAACTGGAGAACATCTATTGGGAAAAGTGGTTTCTTTTCTAATCAAGACCCCTGGAGTATCTTTCTCCACTGTTGTTACCCGGACGGCGACTTTTTGTGGGACATCCGGGTCTCACACTGAAAGTTCGTCACATATTTAATGGCGCCCGAGCAGGGACCGATTTGATTTGAAGAAAACTGGTTTTCCGAAGGTTTTGGGACACACCGAGCACGAAACTGCTGTCGTTTACGTATCTCCAAAACTACCGCTTATTTTGAAAATCCGAGTATTCCAGAGGACTCCTGTAAGCTCCTGAAGCCCGAATCCGCACTTTTCTGCAAAAAGCCGAACTTTGCCGAAGTTTCCCGAAGTCACCCGAAGGCGAGTGAGGTGTCTAGATCAGGGTAATTTGAGCCAAGAAAGCGTTTCCGACCACTCCCGAGAAGATCCGACCATTAACAAAGGAGATACGGTAGCCAACATTGCCATATCGAAGAATTTTCGAATTCTGAGGGTAGAGAGGTATCCATAAGAGGGAAAAAGATCCGAATAATAACCGATTTGCAACAAAATGAATACCGAAGTCGACGAAGGTACCGTTGGCCTTGAAATAGCTGATCCAAAAATAGGTTGGATATATAAGCTGAAAAAGGAAGGTCTAGTAATGGAATTACAACGACTGAACTTACAGACCGATGGAACAGTAGACGAGCTACGACGCCGACTAGTAGCATATCTGAGAGTCGAACCACCGAAAGATCAACCTACACCCTCCGCAACACCGGGAAGGATGACCAGACCGCCACAACCGCCGTTTGACTTTGATCTTCTGAATCAAATCCGAAAACTAAACGTCGTGTATGATGGAAAAGCCGATCCCGTCTCATTCCTAGAGAGACTGAACAATTACAAGAAGAATATGGCATAACCGACCAGCAGCTGTTGAGGACGCTGCCGGGTTTACTGCAAGGCAAAGCAAATCAATGGTATATGAATTATAAGAGCCAATGGAAAAATTTCTATGATTTCCTTGAAGATTTCAAAATTTTCTTTTACCCACCGGATTACCGTGACAATATGGAGGAGGTCATTAGTAAAACCTACCAGAACCGTCAGACCACCGCCAAAGACTTCATTTTGGACATGCAGACCATGATACGACGCCATGGAGGTTTCTCTAGAGAAAGAGAACTAACATGCATTTACCGACGGCTAAGACCAGAATACCGACAATATATCCGCAGAAATGACGTTAGCAATGTAACCGAGCTATTACAGCAGGCCTACGAGTTTGAACAGATCCAACGGGATATGGATAAGTCCGATAAACCGAATAAAAATGCTCAGCCGATTGGGACATCCCGAACTACCGCTCTTACTGTAGCACGTATCACTGAAGTACCAGGACGTGATACAAGCCACCGACCGCCGCCGACCCATGTTCGCAATCCAAGAGAAGGAAACAACCTTACATGCTGGAGATGTGGAGAACAAGGACACACAAGATTTAATTGCCGACAACCACCGAAACTGTTTTGTTCACGATGTGGACGACAGGGAGTTCAATCGCGACATTGTCGATGTACCGCATACCAGGAAAACTCCCGCAGAACTGGGCCACAAGGAAGCCAAATCAATTCTCGACTAGAGAGTTCCAATCGACGCAACAATTCCGATTCTTACCCCCTTAAGGCCGCTGACTCCGTCGGTGTAGATAACCGGCTACGTGAAGTAGTAACCATAGGCGACAGAAGTTATTCCGCATTGGTCGATACAGGATCAGTCCGATCCTATATTAGTCAGAAAGTTGCTACCTATTGCCAGAGCATGGGAATCCCGAAATTACCGGTCAACCAACAGACAAAAGCTGAGCTGGCTGATGGAACCCTTATTAGAATTACCGAAGAGTACCGCATTGAAGTTTCCATATTATCAACCACAGTCACCGCCGATTTTCTATTGCTACCGTCGTCAACCACCGATATGGTCCTTGGGATGGATTTTCTCACCGCCAATGGTTGCACAATCGACCTGAAAGGTAGAAAGATTCATATGGGGAACCGCACAACCGCCATTGTTCACCGCACCGCCAACATAGCACTAGTTCCGACTTTAACCGAATCCAAAAAGAGGAAAGCTACGGAATTGATCCAGATAGAACGCAGGGAATCTGAAGAAATTCAGGGACCAACCGATAGAACAAGAGAGCCTACCAGATTGCCGAATCCGAATCCTATCAAGCAGAGATTCCGTGCTCAGAATCCGAGCATGCAAGAAGTAACAAACAAAGTGACAAACGCTTTGTCACGCCGCCCCTTACCGATCACCGAAGTTTCCGCCATAGAAAACGCGCGTACTAATGACAGGTATTTTTCCAGAGCCATCATGGATACGCCATCACCGAACTCCTTAGGCCAGAGATTGCCGGAAATCTTCGAACCCAGTCCACCAGAGGGGAGTCCAACGTATTGCCTAAACCTAGATACGTCCCCGTTACCTGAGTCACCGCCACCACCGTCACCTGTGCCGCAATTGGTGACACCACTGGCCGCCACTCCGCTGCCAATCACACCGGGACGATGGATGCCATCTCCACGGCCTCCACCGAACCCGACCGGCCCAGCCCCACCGACAAGCCTGCCGGTGCGGAATCTGCGGCCGCCCGACTGGCCGAGACACCGTCGGTACCGGCTACTATTGCGAACACCCGAGGACAAACGCTGGATGACCGTAACCCCATCCAGGAGGACCATCCGCGGCTGTGCTCACCCGCCGGAAACACTTTAGAGGGCATCAAGCGCCTGTGATACCGAGGAGACAGTTATTTATTTGTCGTAGAAGATGAAGTTTTTAGTTTTAGTTATTATTTGGGGGATATAGAAGTTATTTGTTTTTCTTTTCATTCCATAATCCGAAGTCATATTATTTGTTTTAGTTGAATTGTAAAAGGAGGTATATGCGCTGTAATAAAGGATTACCCACACAACAGGCATGCCCCTTGTTAGGAAAAAAAATGTATTCATTTTTTTTTTCGAAGAGAGGGAGGAGTGTAACGAACCTTTCTTAATTTTATCCGTTAAATAGCCGATGAACTATTAACTTTTCATATGTTAGTAATGTAAGCGTGGAACTCTGTATTTATTGTGGGTCTGCGTACTAGCATCCGACGAACTGTTAATCTACGTCACAAACCGGCTATAAAAGGCCGACCTCCGGCAACTGAGATTCAGTAGTGTTGATCGGCAATATCCTCAACACGAAGTAAGTCCGCCTTCCCCCCTTGGTATCGGCAATATCCTACCAAGGCTCCTTCCTCCCTATCCGTCCGTCTGAGAGCAGAGCGTCGGCAATATCCCGCCTGTTCTCAGCATCCTCCCTATCCGTCCGTCTGGGAGCAGAGCGTCGGCAATATCCCGCCTGTTCTCAGCATCCTCCCTATCCGTCCGTCTGGGAGCAGAGCGTCGGCAATATCCCGCCTGTTCTCAGCATCCTCCCTATCCATCCGTCTGAGGGCAGAGCGTCGGCAATATCCCGCCTGTTCGCAGTACTTCCCCTATCCCGCCGTTATCCCGTACAACCTGAGTCAAAAGTAGCCTTGCCTACTCCGTCTCGCCGAATGTTAGTACCGACCGCCTCCGAATTGTCAGTGGGAATTTATTTATTTATGGGTTTGTTAAAATAAACTGGAGAACATCTATTGGGAAAAGTGGTTTCTTTTCTTATCAAGACCCCTGGAGTATCTTTCTCCACTGTTGTTACCCGGACGGCGACTTTTTGTGGGACATCCGGGTCTCACACTGAAAGTTCGTCACAACATTTATGAAGAAAATGTAAAATGACAATTGACATATAAAACTATTGTTAACTTTGTTAAGTAAGTATCGGAAATTGTTTATTTCAATCCCGTGCCAATGTTAAAACATAAAATACAATTTTTTTATAAAAGAAAGAAGCTTCATCAGATAAAAAATCTTCATTTGTAGCAGCATCAGCATACATCGAATCTTCCGATATTGAAACAATTTCTTCTTTATGCGCAATCTTTTCATGTCTTAACAGTTTAAGGTAATAATAATGTTATTGCATCTGACGACAGTGATCTAACAATAAGCTGTTTCGTAAGTAGTTGCCTACAACTTGGTATACCATATGGATCTGATGAAAAATCTTTAAAAAATATCGTCCAGTCTTTGTTCTCGAGTATTTGCGTTTGCGACATGCTCTTCGGAGATAAACTTTTATTTATTTACTCTTAAAATATCCAACGGGTGAAATCCACTTAAAGGATAAGTTTTAGTACAAGAAAAAAAATACATTAATGAAAAAAAGGACTAAAAATATATCCTAAAAATTAATATACAAGTTACAAAAGAATAAAAAAGACCAATACACTGTAACAAACCTTTATTTATTTATCCGTTAAGTATCCGATGAACTATTATCTTTTCCTATGTTAGCGTTTATGTAAGCGTTGAACTCTGTATTTATTGTGGGTCTGCGTACTAACATCCGATGAACCGTTGATCTACGTCACAAACCGGCTATAAAAGGCCGACCTCCGGCACATGAGATTGAGTAGTGTTGATCGTCAATATCCTCAACACGAAGTAAGTCCGCCTTCTCCCTTGGTATCGGTAACATTCCTACCAAGGTTCCTTTCTCCCTATCTGTCCGTCTGAGAGCAGAGCGTCGGCCATTTCCCGCCTGTTCTCAGCATCCTCCCTATCTGTCCGTCTGAGAGCAGAGCGTCGGCCATTTTCCGCCTGTTGAAATCCGGTTTTCCCTGAAACTCCGAGGGTTGGTCCCCGTCCCTCCCGGAGTTCCTTACCCGCCGTTTTCCCGAACAACCGCCAACCTGAGTTGACCACCGAATTGAGGGAAACTTAGTTTTCCGTTTTCCGTTTCACCGCATGTTAGTACCGACCGCCACCGAATTGTCAGTGGGAATTTATTTATTTATTTGTTTGCTTTAAATAAATGAAAGTACATCTATTGGGAAAAGTGGTTTCTTTTCGAATCAAGACCCCTGGTGCACACTTTTCTCCACTGCTGTTACCCGGACGGCGACTTTTTGTGAGACATCCGGGTCTCACAATGAAAGTTCATCACAACACAAAAACAATATAAAATCTTAAGCTCAAAAGTAATATATATAAATAT